TGTGTGTGTGTGTGTGTGATAGATAGATAGATAGATAGATAGATAGATAGAGAGAGAGAGAGAGAGAGAGAGAGAGAGAGAGAGAGAGAGAGAGAGAGATTGCATTGGTCAGTTGCCTACACCATGAATGCATCACCCATCATGTTTGTTTTTGTGAGCGAAGCTGCAACAGGCCATCTAGTTTGCTCCTAAAATTTTTGAGCTCTGCAGATCAGTCCCTGTTGCTAGGTGAATTGCAAATTTGCCCATGAAATTTTCGAGTTTGGCCGGTTAGCCCCTGCTGCTGGACAATTTTCCAGAATTGCTGTCTTCAAGAGTTTGCTGTTGAGTCTCTGCTACCAGACGAAATTGCGGTATTGCCCTTGCTTTTCTCCGGCTTATTGCAGTCTTACCTGTGATTTCCCTGAAGCCGTAGCAGATTGGGATTTTATTCGAAGCGCTTTCCACCGGGTTCAATTGAGTGGGCCCTTATGCTCATGCCAGCCAGGCCCATTCCAGCGGGCCTTCTCTACTTTTCAGCGAGGTCCATTTAGGCCGACCCTATCATATTCAGCCAGACCCGCTGGGCGGGTCCTTGCATATTCAGCTAGGCACTCTCAAGCGGGCTTTTTCCCCATTTCCAGCGAGGTCCACTATGCGGACCCTATTATTATCAGCCACCTCCACTCAGGTGGACCCTATGAAATTCAGCCAAGCCCACTCAGGTGAACCTTTGACCAGGCCTTTTAGGCGGCTTCTCACAAACGGCTATGCTCAAGTGGGGGAGACTAATCAGGAAACTTGTTTACCAGTATCCAGGGCACCAGGGGTTTGTGGTTCATGCTAATCAGTCCCCCAAGGCCAAGTACACTCCTAGTGTCACCTATCAGGTAAAAAGCGCTGAGCAGCGTACGAAGGGGGCAACATTCGACCACATAGCGGTATATATGTTTACAACAGATAACAGCCATTGGAGGGCACATTGGCTTAATGTTGTCTTCCCCCTTGTCACAACAGCTGGTGGAGGAGTGCCGCAGGTCTTTGACGGCACCACTTGGAGGCCATTCCAGGAGATCGGAGGATTCAAGGGCGAAAGAGGGCGGCCATAGGATATGACATTACACCAGCGACGCACAGCAGGTCTCCTCCAAAGTGCAGAGTGCCTTATATGGAACCAGCTGAGATCAGAGATTTCACACGGATGCGATTGGTATCAAAGCTGTGTGTCGAGCAGAGAGTTTGGCCAGTTGCCAGTCGCGAATGGTTGACTAGTTGGATGCAGAGTTGGAAGAGCTCCAGGATCTAGATTTTGAAGATAGTCGTGGGGGCCACGGGTAGGCGCAGGCGCAAGAAGTTTTATCTTTGACAGATTGCCTACCTTCTCGTAAAGGTCCTTGATGTCTAGTGAGAGGAAGCCTCATGATGAGTTAGGCCCTTCGACAGGGTGGGGCACAGTTCCCTGTATTGGAGATGGGTGTAGCCACCTGGTGGGGGCCAAAAGCATATTCCAGGCATATCGACGACACTGGGCAACATGCGCTTTCTATTGACTTGCAATGGCTACTACCGAGGTAATCGACGAATAGAGATCACCTTTGAGGCTCCAAGAAAGGTCACCACTGCAAAGGAGTGTTATCTCCGAGACACAGAAGATACTGTGACCGCTCGTTGCATGGCCTTTATGACACTGATCAATCCAGAGTCCTCAGTCGACATTTGTCGCATTGTCCTTCAGTCCATGACTCCGCAAGTTGTGCAAGAGATGGCCAACTCGACCACAGGATAGATCACAAGATTATCCACCCAAGAGTTCACACATGAGCTCCCTCTGGTTATCATTGACTAGGATGTTCGCTGACGTATGTCATGATTCCTACACTTCTTGAAATCGCTAACGTGAGAAATCTGATATCCTGGCCATCCCGGTCCTACCGGGCCGACGACTGAGATCGTCACTCGATCTTAAGATTTTAAAACCGCCCGTCGATCCAGCTAGTCCGCGGTCCTGCCAGGCCACAGCCAGGATCAACGCGCGATCTGAAAGGTTTAAGATCACGAGACAATCTGGGCCGTCGGACCGGTACCGGCTGGCCAGCTGCCGAGATTAGAAGTTTGGGCTGCCAGGCCTTGGGAAAAACCAGTTCCAGGCCCAGGTGCCCTATTGGGCGCCGCATTTCGTCCCTTTTCGCACACATATGTTTGGCGCCGCAGGGCCAACAAGGCAACACACACTACGACGGACGGGGTGTAAAGCGCATGGGTGAGACAACACGCACTCACCCGCACAGATGCCCGCCTGTCTGCCCATCACCCGCCCATCACTCGCGCCTGTCTGCCCATCACCCGCCCATCACCCGCCTGTGCAAGCACACTCGCAGCCGCACACGCACATG